ACAAGTAGTAATTGGATATGAATATTGAATGGTACCAATGAAAGGAAGATGAGGAATTGTTTGGTTACATATAAAGATTAATAAAAAAGAACTAAATTATGATAATGGATATAGTCAAATTAAGGAGAGATAATGATAACAATGTATATATAGGTATGGGTACAACATGGGAAAATTGGATGTGATTTGGAAAGGAAGATTAGAAACCTTTGTTACTAAATGTTATTGATGTTTAGCTAGAATAGGCCATAAGGAATAGTGTTATTGGGATACTAAAAATAACAAATGAGATGCCAGTATGTGGTTATGTCTTGAGTTTTGGTATGTTTTATGATGAAGGACGTTTAAACAATTATAGTCAAATGAGAATGGGGGTAGGATGATGGTAATATATACAAATATATTTAATTTAAAATGCTAGAATTAATATGAATCATAGATGACTGTGAAAGAAACGCACAAAAGTTTTTTGTAACCAACTGATACACTTTCTGCAGTATGTAAAGAAAGAGGATTTTATGTGTTGTATCTGTTTTGAAAAATAAAACTAAAAAATCTTTTTTAAAAAAACCAAAAGCATTTGTAGCTTTTCGGGTTTTGTAGCATCTCTGTATCACAGAATCATGCTGCTTTTAGCAAGGATTCCTCCATACCATTCCCAACCTTGAAATATGGGGTGGAGCAATGGTTTAACCAGCTCTTTCCCTAGTAATTAAGTTCCAACTTCTCCTAAGGCTCTTTAAAATACTGATATCAAAATATCAGCAGTTGATTGAGTAGATCATCCCAACTGTGCTTTGACCGAGTCCTCAATGTACGACTACGATTGAGCCCAAAATTTATGTTGTCAAGTGAGACATTTGCTAACTTAATTTTGCCCCATTTTACAACCTTTCTTACCACAATTGTTAAGTGGATCACTGCAGTTGATAAGATAGTAACATGGTTGTTATGTGAATCTGGCTTCCCCATTGATTTTGCTTGTCAGAAGGTCGTGAAAGTTGATCACTTGACCTTGGGATGCAGCAACGGTCATAATTATGAACCAGTTGCCAAACATCTGAATCTTGATCACATGGTCACCAGGATGCTGCAAAGGTTGTAACTGTAAAAAAAATGTCTTGAGTCATATTTTTCGGTGCCATTGTAACTTTGAGTGTTCGTTAAACAAACTGTTGTAAGTTGAGGACTACCTGTATAGATTGGCTCTAACTCAGGTGTGTCTAGTCCATTGGCCACATGTGGACCTGGACAGCTAGTAATGCATTCCCACAAGATTGTAAACTTTTAGCATTATTATGTGACTTACATTAATTATGTTACATACTTTACATGCAGCCCAATACAATTTCTCTTTACTCAATGTGTGGAGCCAGAAGGTTGGACACCATGCTTTAATTCAAAGGGAAATGATATGATTTTGATTCAAAATTTCTAGATAGGCATGAGAAAAACACTTTTAAATCACAGAGAGCTGCTGTTAGTCAGGGTGGACAAAAATGGGACAGACTCCTGATCTGGTATAAATTAAGCATATACTATCCCCTTGATGGCGAACCTGTGGCATGTACACTTTGGCATTCTTTTGAGGCCATTTTTTGCCCTCCGGAGGCTTTAGGAGCTTCCCTGAAGCTTCCAGAGTGCGAAAAAACCAGCCCTACAGGCAAACCGGAAGTTCGGGAACATACTTCCGGTTTGCTCGTAGGGTCGGTTTTAGCCCTCCGGAGCCTTCAGGAGGCTTCCCTAAAGGCTCCGGAGGGCAAAAAACGACCCTATGAGCAAACCGTGCACATAGCATTATGGGTGTGACACGCCCGTGCATGACTCCCCTGCGCTCCCCCCGCTTTTGGCACACAAGCCACAAAAGGTTCGCCATCATTGTACTATACAGTGTAATCTATACAGCTAATACAGCTAATCTAGGAATAGAAGATTGTAAATAAACCACTAGGTTGAGCTGGAACACAGCAATCTTTTGAGTTGCTCTCTTAAAACGTTCCCCACTCCCCATGCCATGAAATGTCATACCTAGATGCAGAAAAGGTAGTTAAATAAAAATAGTCTGTACACTATATGTCTTTCTTTAAGTAAATTGAACAGTGATTTTCCACTAGGATTGTCATACTTGGACTGCAGAAATCTAGGCAACCAATAAAATAGTATTTCTCAACCATGGCAACTTTAAAAATGAAAGGATTTCAACTCCCAGAATATTCCTACCAACATACTGGCTGTGGAATTCTGGGAAATGAATTCCACGCTTGCCAATATTGGAAAAACTGCAGTACAAGTATTAAAGAATACGAAAAGAATGATACGAAAACAATTGCTGCCATCTAGTGGTCATTTACATCTTTGTCATTTGGTTCCATGGACCAAACTCTTTCTACAGTGTTTTGTTATGAGCAAGTCCCCCTGCAATGTTATTTATGGCTTTCTCTTTTATTGTTGTTACTATTTTATTATTGTTAAGCCTTATCATCTTAAGGTAGCCGAACTATTATTCTATAATAACATTGTAGACTCCTGGCTTCCAATGTACAAAATCTATATGCTAAATAAATAAAATAAATTGTCTGTTTCTTTTGAAATACATAAAAGTAGAAACTTTCACGCTTACAGGCACTCGTAGCTCAGAACTGAAGCTGAGGAATTTTAATGATAAATTGCTCTTTATTCTGCAAAAAGTAGCAATGAGCAGACATTGGAAGAGAAATTTTTTAATGGTACTTTTATTACCTTCGTGAAAAGGCTCAACATATTTTATTTGTTCACCCTGGAAAGTTGGCAGAGCACTTGAATTGTCTAGGAAAAAATTGCAAGAACTTGAGACACATTGGAAGCTACCTGAGGGCAAATAGGCAATTAGTCCATCTATCCAGTGTCTTACACCCAAATAGAATCAGACTTCGCAGATTTCCAGAGATGAATCTTTCCCAACCCTGCTTAAGTGTCAAGAAATAGATTATAATTTGAAATTGAGACTTTCTACATGCTGAAACGCATTCTATATTTGCAGTCTGGGAAAATATATTTGACTGCATCAAATTACAGTACATTTCAAGGGCAAACAGTTAGTGTAGGAACTGAAGACTGAAGGATGCAAGCCTCAAAATGGAAAAAAACCCTCATCGCCTTTTCTGAAAATACTTCTGCATTTATATATATGGTTGGCTAGAGTTAGTGAAAGAACAGTGGCTGTGCAAATAAACCTGCCTTTTGCTCATGTTTTCTGTACTTGCTAAAGTCAGTTTTGTAATCTTTGCAGTTCTAAAATAACATGGAACTGCCATGAAATGAGAAAAAAAAATCTCTATGTTTAAATCAGGGGTATCATACTCAATTTTATTGAGGGCCGCATCAGGGTTGTGTTTGACTTGGAGAGCTGGGGGGCCTGGCTGGAGGGGGCATAGCCAGCTTGATGGCATTCATATTGAGCTGGCACTCATATTGAGGGCACCTATAGGGACCCGTGCCCTCCCAGCGAAAACAGGTTCCCAAGCTCTGTTTTCACCTGTGACTGCCTCCTGCAACCCTCTGCCAGCAAAAACAGAGCTCGCAAAGGCCCCCCCAAGCTCCATTTTCACTCTCAGAGGCACTGCAAGCCAGACATTTACTGTTTCCAGGGCGGCCCCGCGGGCCAAGCACCCCTCGCGATCTGACCCCCGGGCCTTGAATTTGATACCCATGGTTTAGATGTACTAGACGCGTATGAACTTTCTCCACAATATTCCAAACGAAATGTCCTGTTTTCTTTATTACAGCATCATTGGAAAAAGAAAAGCTGGTCATTTGCCCCTAACCCTAACAGACTCTCTTTTTCTTTCTCGTTCTCTCCTTTCCTCTCTCTGTTTTCAGTCACAGAATCTGAATGCACGGACAGTTCTCCCACAATCTATTTCTGGAACCGAAAGGCCTTGCACATTACCAACTCCATAGAGGAGAGTGGGGGTCTTGACCCAGCCCTTGTTGGCTGCCTCTTTGCTGCTTGGATGCTGGTTTGTCTCGCCATGATCAAAGGCATTAAATCTTCAGGCAAGGTAGGTTGTGTCTGCTTGTCTGTCTTTACATAAAAATATTCTCTCAAGAGACTTCATATGGGTAGCCCTCGACTTATTACTGTAACTGAGCCCGCAATTATGGCCATAAGACATGCCAGTCTACAAGCGGGACACCACTTTATGATCTGATTTGAGGCAGTTAAGGGTTCATTGAGTCAGCACAGTGGTCATTAAATGAATCCATTGTTCGCAATGGATGTTTTTTTGTTGTTGTTGTTGCAAACCGGAAATAAACGCTGGTTTCCAGCAAAAAAACAGCAAATCATGGTGACATGACTTCAGGACACCGCAAACTGCTGAAAATGTAGACTGCTTGCTGAGCATCCAATATATGATCACTTGATTTTGGGAGTGGGGGGCACCAGAAATCGAGGCTATGTAACCCTGGGGAAGTCTGTTGTAACTTCAAACAGTCTCTAAATGATGGGGCATAAATTGAGGAGTACCTGTAATTGATATTCCAACTATTATCTTGCATATAGTCTTCTCTTCTTCAACCTAGTAGCCGCTAGATACAATGGACAAAATTTTCATCTTCACTAGCTGATATTACGGCTGAGGAAATTTGCATTTACTTTGGGATTAGAAGAGGAACCAAATAATCTGGATTATAGACTGAACGAGGGGAACTGTGGATTTTTAAGTGTGGATTTTTTAAAAAAATATTTTTTATTTTTAAACAAAAACAGACAAAAACATAAAACATATACAACTTTCTTCCATTTCATAGAGCGTGTTGTTTGGTTTCCATGGTCACTACCTACAGTTATATATCGAATCACAAATTGTTCATTAGGTAAACATAAATGCATTATTGTTATATATCAATTTTTCAAGTGTAATTATTATTCCTTAATTTTAAACAAGATATTCTAGATATTAAATCCATACACACAACATCATTTTGCATCAATAGTTCGACTGCTGTTATTATTCCTACATTTTAAACAAAATATTTTATATATTGAAATCATACATACATCATTCCATTACATCGTTCTAATCTGTTTAACAGTGCTAAATCCTTATGGTATTGCATCTATAATTCCACTATTCTTAGAATATAAAAAAATTCTCCCACTTTTTCCATTACCATGATTATTTATCTAACAATTGATAAAACAAATCCCAAACTTTGTAGAATTGTTCATCTTCTTGTTCTCTAATTTCAAATGTCAATTTACTCATTTCCGCACATTCCATAATTTTTTGAATAATTTCCTCCTGCCTTGATATTTTCTCATTTTTCCAGTGTTTTGAAATACAATTCTTGCTGCTGTTAAAACATTTACAATCAAATATTTCAAGTCTCTATTATTTATTTCTGGTATGATTCCCAATAAAAAGGTCTTTGGTTTAAAGTCTATATGTTTTTGTGTCATTTTCTCCAAGCACCTGTGAATTTTAGTCCAATATCTTTTAGCTTCTGTGCAAGTCCACCACGTGGTAATATGAACCCGGTATCTGATGACATTTCCAACACTGATTTATTCTTGAACATTCTTGCTATTCTCGTCTGGGGTAGATGCCACCTGTAAAACATATAAATTTTCCTTATATCTGTTGACACTGTCATTTTATAATTTTGAGACCACAATTTCTGCCACTTTTCTAATTCAATCCCGTGCCTAAAGTTTCCCCCCACACTATCATAGGTTCTTTAACTTGTTCTTCTTCTAGCTTAACCTCTAGTAAAAGTCCATATAATTTTTAATTACTTTTTCATCAGTACCTGTTAAAATTTTATCTAATTCAGTCATTTTGTCATAAAAACCTTCCTCTTTACTATCTTTATCATATCTAGATTGTATTTGCACATATGAAAACCAATTCATTTTTATTCCTTCTTGTTCCAACTCTTGCTTAGATTTAAGTTCACCCTCTGCATTCAACATTTCACCATATCCATTTGTTCCTTTTTCTATATTATTGGGTATGAAAAGGCTTCAATAATTGATAGCCAGACTGGAATTTTTAAATAATATTGCTTTTTTATCTTTTCCCAATTTAATAGCAATGCCTCCCTTAAGTAATATCTTCTGAAATACCTCTGTGTTTTAGTTCCCTTATACCATAAAAAAACATGCCAACCCAACAATAAGTCATGACCTTCTACAATCAATAGTCTAGAATTCCTTAGTGTTATCCATTCTTTAAGCCACATCAAACTTGCTGCCTGGTAACAATTCCCAATTGAAATTGTTTTTGCATCTTGTAGTGATTTTAATTTTATTCTTGCTTTTTTCCCCTGCCAAATGTACTTCAGCACTATCTTGTTTAAATCATCAAAGTATTCTTTCCCTAATCTGATTGGTATTGTCTGGAACAAATATAGGATTCTGGGTAGAATGTTCATTTTGATTGTAGATATTCTCCCTATCATTGATAGTTGTAAATTTTCTCATTTCTTAAAATCATTCGCAATCTCTCGTTTAGGTTTATAATAATTGTTCTCTTTAAGTGCATTACATTTTGCTGTTAAAAATATCCCCAAGTATTTAACCTTGTTTGTGACTTGCATCTCCAAGATTTCTGCTAATTCTTCCTTTCGTCTTGTTGATATATTCTTTGTCAAGATCTTAGTTTTATCTTCATTTATTTTCAATCCTGCTGTTTTCCCATATTTCTCTATTTTTTCTATTAGTTTGGGAGCAGTTTCCAATGGATCCTCTAGAATGAAAACCAAGTCATCTACAAATGCTTGTAATTTATATTCTTCCTTTTTAATTTTCATTCCTTTTATTTCATTTTTCTCTTTAAGATTTCTGTTTAAGATTTCTAATGTTAAGACAAAATGTAGGAGGCTTTATTTCAATGGGATCTGTCAGCTCTCCATTTATCATTATCTTTACTGATTGCTTGTGGAATATAGTTTGTATAGTTTGGGTAAATTTCTTGCCAAAACCCATCGGTTCCAGTTGCAACAGCATAAAACGCCAATTCACATTGTTGAATGTTTTCTTATTATTTTAAAACCTAACACCCCTCCTCAAGCCTAATATACTTCCCCCCCCTTCCCCCCCGCCATTGTCGAATGTTTTCTGTGCGTCTAAAAACATCAGAGCCATTTGCTTTTTGGGGTGTGCCTCATAGTGTGGATTTTTAATCTTTAATCTTTAATCAGCTATACCGATAGTCTTTGACTTTCAACAGTTTGTTTAATAACCGTTCAAAGTTACATTGGCATGATTAAAAGGGACTTATGACCAGTTTTCACACTTACGACCGTTGCAGCCCCTTTTGTGACCTTCTGTCAACCAAAATCAATGGGGGAGCCAGATTCACTTAACAATAATTTGACTAATTTAACAACTGCAGTGATTCACTTAACAAGGGTGGCAAGAAAGGTCATAAAATGAGGCAAGCTCACTTAACTGTTTCCCTTTAACAACAGAAATTTTGAGCTCAATTGCAGCTGTAAGTCAAGGACTGCCTGTATAAATTTAATATACATACATGCATGCATGCATGCATGCATGCATGCAAAATACCACTCATGCAGCATCACGAAATCTCCAGAACCATAAAGCCTACAACTTGAAATTTGGCACGTATTTTCCTCTTGGCTTTTAGGTGCTCGCTAAGAAAGGATTTTTCGAATTGATCATCAGACCATTAGTACTTTTTATATTATTATTAACATACTCTGATGCTAAGGATTTAGATGTTCTACTCCCCCTCCTCACCTGGAAAAAACTCTGTTCCAACTGCCACTTGTATGTGGGCATGGCCTGTGCGTGACTCATCCAGCCTGCAAGGCATGTTGACATGAAAGAAGAGGATAAGAGAGGAGAGGCCTCTGGAGCAAGCCTGAGGGAAAGAAGGGGATAGGAGAGGATCAATGGGCCAGCCTGAGCGAGAGAAGGAGGAGAGAAGAGGCTTCTGTGGGGCAAGCCTGAGGGAGAAGTGCGGAGCGGAGTACGGATATCCAACTAGTAAATAAATAAGTTAATACATTTGTGGGAAAGAAACTACAGAAACACAAAAGCAAAATTTTACCCTTGTGTATCAATAACGTCTGCCAGCATGATTCTCACCATGCCTTGATTTTTACACTCATTTCCACCATATCTTCTCTCCATTCCAGGTTCTGTATTTCAGCTCTCTGTTCCCTTATGTAGTTCTCTTCTGCTTCCTTGTACGTGCTTTGATGTTAGAAGGGGCAGCTGATGGAATCAAGATCATGTTCACCCCTAAGGTAAGAGACTCTGGCCTTGGGCGCCATCCTGATTTTGAAGGATAGGCAGCCCTCATTATCACAATTTGGACCAGAATTTCTGTTGCTTAGCAAAGCGGTTATTAAGTGAGTCACCTCCGACTTTACAATTTTATTGCCGCGGATGTTAAGCAAATCATTGCAGTTCTTAAGGGGATCATGCAATCCTTAAGTTGACCGGCTTCCTCATTGATTTTGCTCGTCAGCTGTGAAAGTTGCAAATGGAGATCACATGACTTCTGGAACTGCTATAAATACATACTGGTTGCAAAGCGCCCTAATTTTAGTGATGTGATCATGGGGATGCTGCAGCCAAAACTTACGTCTTGGCTGCAGCATCCCCATGATCACATCATTAAAATTAGGCACTTTTTTTTCAGTGCCTTTGCTGTACAGAAAAATGGCTTATGTCATCCAAAAGGAAGTCCAGAGAAAATTAAAATCAGTTGAATAAGAAAACATCCCAACAAGAGCTCCAACATCTATTCTAACCTAAGACCTGAGTACTGAGTCAGGTTTTAAAGGCTCATTTAAACAATCCTGCAAAGGTGGTGGTGGTGGTTTAAATAAACCTAGGTTGGGATCAGCGGTAGGATTCACTTATCATATTTTTTGGAATATAAGATGCACCAAGATTTTGAAGAGGTAAGTTTAAAAAAAGTTTTTGCACTCTACAGACCTCCCAAACCCTCTGCACACCTCATTTTTTGTGAAAAACAGGGCATGCAGAGAGTTTGAGAGGCCTGTAAAGTGTTCCTGGGGGTTGGGGGGGGACAGCAAAAACAAGCAAAAAACGGGCCCGTTTTTCACTCGTATTTGCTCTCCCCAGCCCTCAGGAGCACTCTGAAAGCTTCCTAAAAGCTGTGCACGGCCATTTTTGCGAAGGGGGCGGAGTTTCAGGAGGCCAAAAATGCTGTATTCAGTCTATAAGACACACCCAGTTTTTCACCCTCTTTTTGGGGGGAAAAGGTGCATCTTATACTCCGAAAAATATGGTGCCTTCCTTACTGGTTGGCAAATGTGAGCATGCGTATGTGCACTGCCTTCTGTGCATGCACAGTGCTTGTGCATTATGCCGGGGTGGAGGGTAGGAACGAAGCCTCCCACAGCCACTGCTACTGGTTCACCTGAACCAGAGAGAACCAGCTGAATACCACCTCTGGTTGGGATGGTATTCTGTAGTGCAGATCTCATGTCAGAGATGGGTCCAATCAGATGTTTAATTGATGGGACTTGGATTATGCTGGCTCTGTCAGGCTGCATGGAATGGGCAGAAATAGGCAATCCTTCAAAATCCAATTCTTATCCCATATAGCCGTGTTTCTCAACCTTGGCCACTTGAAGATGTCTGGACTTCAACTCCCAGAATTCCCCAGGCAATGTAGCTAGGATTTTATAGATAATAACCAGCACCTTGAATTGCATTCAGAGGCCTGCTGGCCTGCAGTGCAACTCACCAAGCAGAGGTATTACCTGGACCTGTCCATATTGCCACATTCTGGACTATGCGCAGCTTCCAGATAGTCTTCAAGGGCAATCCTGTGTATAATGCACGGCATAGTCCGATCATGAGATGACCAAAACATCTTGAGTTTTTTTATGGCTTTCAGCACTTGAGAAAAGGGCCAGAGGTGCAAAAATGTGAAAAGATGCCTTTTGTCTCACAATATCTTACCTTTCCCCACTCCCCAAGCTGTCCATTTGGGGAGATATGCAGGTCTGGCGTCAGGCAGCCACTCAGGTGTTCTTTGCTCTGGGCCTGGGCTTCGGCACCATCATTGCTTACTCCAGCTACAATCCTCAGCATAACAACTGCCACATCGATGGGTTGCTTGTGTCTGGCATCAACTTCCTTACCTCGGTGTTGGCCACACTGGTGGTTTTTGCCGTGCTGGGTTTCCGAGCCAATGTGTTGGCGCACAGCTGTGTTGTAAGGTTAGTGTCCATCTAACTGTTGGTTAAAGGGCGCCAAATACAATCAAGAGCTGTGGTGATGCAGTGGTCAGAATGTAGTATTGCAGGTGAACTCGGCTCACTGCCAGGAGCTCGATTCTGACTCAGCCTTTCATCCTTCCGAAGTGGGTACAATGAGGTCCCAGACTGTTGGGTGCAATATGCTGACTCTGTAAACTGCTTAGAGAGGGTGGTAAAGCACTGTGAAGCGGTATATAAGTCTAAGCGTTATCATTAGGTACTAAGTCCTGCAAGAAAGAATTGAGTGGGGATATGATACAAGTACTGTATGATATGATACAAGTACTGAAGGGGAGAAAGGGAGGTGTAATAGCAGAAGGTACGTCCTAGATTGGTTGGGCTACTTGGCTCCACGTGTACCAGATAATAAGTGGGACAAGTCTCATTTACTCCCAGAAAAATCTGGCGTTTGAGCCTACATATAATTGTGGCCGCAAGAATAACCTATGCGCAATTTTGGAAATCTACTACCATACCATCGGAAGGTGCCATAATTAAAAAGATTTGTGAATGTGCAGAAATGGACAGAATGACGGGTTGGCTGAGGGACAAAGGAGAAACGGAACATTATCTTAGCTGGAACCTATGGTATATGTGGGCGACAAGGAGAACGGCAGGGACTTAAAAACAGGGAAAAGTTAAATAGCGGTTGTTAACAATGGGTACTAAAAGTGAACATGGGTATTGTAATAGATCCCTGAACTTTGTAACGAGAAGATGCTGGTTAGAGACTAAACAATGAGGAAGAAAAAAAAAAAGTTGGGCTGTGAATGACTGTCACCGCCCGGGGGGTGGGTGGGAATTTGTATGTTTAAAGTTGTATTTGTATTTGTATGTCTTATTTTTTAAAAAAATGTATAGCCAATAAAGATTATTTTTTTAAAAAAGAAAAGAAAAATCTGTCATCGACATCTTTCAGCCATTGCTCCTTTTCGTGGCAGATTGGATTTATAGAACCCATGGCTGTTACCTATCTTGCAGTTAAAATGGGTTGCCTGACTTTGTCCCCTTTATGCTACTTACAAGAGAGGAAGGGCATTTCCCAACTTGAGATATTATTAGATATTATTATGGGTATTGTTATGGTTCATTGCACAGTCAACCAGATGTTTAGACCACAATTGGCATTTTTATCCACCTATGAAATCCTTCCCAAGGATTTGGGCTAGGATTAGCCAATAGCAATAGGCAACCCCAACACATCTGGAGCACTGCTTAAACACCATTGGAATTGGGTAAAAAAATCCACCAATCGATTGCAAAAAAACAGCTTTACTCAAAAAAAAAAAACCTGTATCATGCAACAATACCGGTTGTTTGATGGTTTTAAAAGGTATTGTTGCATGATATAAACTGTTTCGAGTAAAGCTGTTTTTTGCAATTGATTGATGGATTTTTTTCAATTCCAATAGTGTTTAAGCAGTGCTCCAGATGTGTTGGGATTGCCTATTGCTATTGATAATGTCTTCGCTTCCTTTTGGCACAGTCATTCTTGTATAGCTAGAATCAGTCCCTCTCTCTGTTTCTTCAACTTTCCTGCTTTTAGTCATCGTCAGGTCTTGTTATCTTCTTTGCCTGGTGTGGTGTGGTGTGGTGTGGTGTGTGTGTGTGTGTGTGTGTGTGTGTGTGCTGGCCATGTAATACTTTGCCTTTCCACATCTCTTCATCTGGTCTTTCTTGTAGGCTGAACATTTGGTGTTCAGTAAACATTAATAGTGCACTAGCTTCAGCACACTTTCTTCACTATCCTTCAAATATTCTTTCCCTTTTCTCTTCTTCAATTGTCTGGTGTACTTAGGACATTCTATGTCCATCTATGCTCCTTGCTAAGTAGTCAATGTCACTGTGAGGTTGATTTTTCTGGTCTTCCTATCCAGAACTTTTAATTCTTCTTGAGTCAAATCCATTATTACAGCTGTGTATCTAATGATAGGAATTGCCCAGATGTTGATTGCCTTGATTGTATTTCTTCCACTGAGTTTGGACTTAAAGATCTTCTTCATTCTCCTGATGTATTCACTTCCATATATTTTTTTACTTGGGTGTGCTCGATGATGTCAGTTTTAAGGATATTTGTAGTGCTCTTCATCCAGATTCTTGATGTTAATTTCCATAGTGCATCTTGATTCTTTCAGTTTTCTCTATTTTTTCCTTACTGATGGTAAGAGTGACATATTTGCCTAGTCCAAACTCCATTGCAATATCTTCGCAGTATATACAGTCAGTGCTGAACAGCAATTCTATTTCAGATGGTATTTTTCCATACAACTTCAGATCATCCATGTAAAGGAGGTGAGATAGCCTGGCAGACTATTATTATGGTTGCTTCTAACCATAATTTTTCATTTCTTATTGCAGATGTCCCCAACCTTTCTAGCTTGGTGGCTTGCCCCAGCAAGTTGGGGAGGGGTGGGTGGGGTGAGTGGTAGGCACATGCACGCACAGACAGCTCCATTTGTGCGAGCAACTGGTGCGTGCAGCCCCACTTATGAGAATGGAGGTTCGCACACGAGTGGAAGATACTTGTGTTTGTCTGCCAATCTCCATTCATGCAAATGGAGCTTCGTGCGTTTGCACATGACATATCATGATGGGTTTTTCCCCCTTCGTGGAGCTGAAGTGAGCGTGGCCTATGCGTGACGCATTTGGCCTGTGGGCCGCAGGTTTGACACCCCTGCCTTATTGGACACTCCTTATTAGAACTAATGGCCAGTCCATGAAACACACACACACATACATATATATTGTTTATTGTATGTAAGCATATGATCATAAATATAGCAATAGTACTTGGACTTATATACCACTCCATAGTCCTTCACAGCGCTTTCTGAATGCTTTACAAATGGCAGCATATTTTCCCTCAACAATCTGGGACCTCATTTTACTGACCTCGGAAGGTTGGAAGGCTGAGTCAACCTTGCGCCAGTCAGGATCGAACTGCTGGCAGTGGGCAGAATTAGCCTGCAGTACTCCATCCTAACCACTACGCCACCAATTAGCTTGCAACAGTTTAATCTCTATCTGGAACCCTCCAGATGTGTTGGACATCAAATTCCACTGTTGTCACCCAACCTATTCTTGAAATTCCAATGTTGCCTCCAAGCCTTGGTTGCCCAACCATGGCTAATGTCTTCCAGTTCACTGAGTTTGGGTTTTTATGTTCTGTTTGGGGGTCCATGTGTTTTCTAACCTTTCTACTACTGTATGTTTATTTGTTTGGCAGAAATGCAGACCTTTTGACAGAGCTGGTGAAGAATGGCTCCCTCTCGGCTGTGCTTCCCGCAAACATGTCTGAATTTTCACCTGCTCAATACAGCAGTTGGTATCAGGATCAATGGAATGATACAAAGAAGCAGTTGGAGGAGTGGAAACTTGGTGACTGTCGTGTAGAAGATGAAATGAATAAGGTGAATAGGTAGACAAGGGATGGATTCACAAATCTGGCTAACCATAGATCATTCGAGATCATGCTGCTAAACCATTAACCAGGATCTATAAATCCGAGTGGCTGAGTTCACCAAAAACCAAAATAGCAAAATTATGGATTGAAATGATGTGTGTGGACCCACTCTTGGCTGGGCTGAACTCCATCCTAAGAAGCAAAAAGCTGTATTTGGGATAAAAAGAAGTCAAGCTATTGAGCAAACATGGCCCTGCATAGATTATGACTCACCAGTCAAAACATAACCTTCCAGTTTAGCACAGTGTTTCTCAACTTTAGCAACGTTAAGATCTGCAGACTTCAACTCCCAGAATTTCCCCAGGCACCTTAGTTGATGTCTTCAGGATGTGTAACTAGGGGAATGCTGGCTGGAGAAATCTTAAAGTTGAAATCCTCACATCTGGAAGAGATCCAGATTGGGGAAGACTATGCAGTGGCTCAGTGACTAAGACGCTGAACTTGTTGATCAGAAAGGTCGGCTGTTCAGCACTTTGAATCCCTGGCGCCGTGTAACGGAGTGAGCTCCCGTTAATTGTCCCAGCTTCTGCCAACCTAGCAGTTCGAAAGCACATAAAAATGCAAGTAGAAAAATAGGAACCACCTTTGGTGGGAAGATAACAGCATTCCATGTGCCTTCAATGTTTAGTCATGCCAGCCACATGATCACGGAGACATCTTCGGACAGCGCTGGCTCTTCAGTTTAGAAACGCCTTCTAGAGTCGGGAACGACTAGCACATATGTGCGAGGGGAACCTTTACCTTTATTAAGTTTTCCATTTGCTTTAAATTTGACATTTGCTACAGTTCCTATTGTCCATATTTCTTTCTCTTTCTCCCTCAGGGTGTAGAAGGGACAGGCCTGGCCTTCATCACCTTCACAGAAGCTATGACCCTGTTTCCAACAGCCCCCTTCTGGTCTATGCTGTTCTTCTTTATGTTGCTCAATTTAGGGCTGAGCACCATGTTAGGGAACATGCAAGGAATCATCACTCCTTTATTGGACAACTTCCAAAGTCTCCAGCGTCGGCGGACGCTCTTCACAGGTACCGCAAAGGGGCAGTCTTCCTTCACCTGGGGCAAGGCCAAAAATTCATGGATGTGTTATATGTACCACAAGGGCTGGGATTTTAGGTTGCGGTACTTTGGACTCTACAGAATATAGGAGGCTAAGCAGGTGGTAGAATTTAAAATATTCTGCAAGATGAAGTGAAAGGATTGCAGATTCCAGAAGAATGAGTTGCATTTAAAATGGGACGCTAATAGAGTTGATTGTTGATGGTGCTACTTCAGGGCTGAAATGCTACCGGTTTGGACCGAACCGGTAGTACAAAATGATTAACTGGGTGAAATCAGCTGTGACGCACGATTTATATTAGCTAGAATTGTCAGATTTCCTGTTTTCTAGCTAATTTAAATTGGATGGCACAGCAGATTCACCCCCTTTGTTCTACTTACCTTTGCAGATTCGGAAGGCTTCAAAATGTTCCTTGTCTTCGAGGTGGGGCGTGGGAGCAGTCACTGATGGGTATTGTTACGGCCTAATTGCCTGGAGACTGACGTAAATCAGAGGACATTCTCTCTGCTCCTCCTTCTGACTCCCCAGATTAACCTCAGTCTTCGGCCTAAAAGGAGCTATTTGGTGACTCTCCGGATTTCTTATTGTGAAATAAGAAATTCACCTTTATTCTTCCTAACCTCCTTCCTCTTCCTTCTGCGCCTCTTACATGCTAGGTAGCAGACTCACCGAATCAGTAGCAGACTTCAGAGGATTTCCCCGCTGTGCTACTTCAGATGCCTGGATCAGAATTTGGGTGCTACTACTTCCCTACTTCAGAGTGCCAGAGGACAATGAATGCATTTTAAAATGAAATCATTTTAAAATCAATCTGGTACTCTACAGGATACTGGGGAAGGAAGGAACAAAAGATCATATGCAAATTCTATATTTCTTATATCACAGTGAAGCAAAAAAATCAAGCATTCCTTTAGAGCAAATGCTACAACTGCAATTCATTTTAAATCAATGCATTCAGAATTTTCCCTTTCAAATATTTCATGAGAAAGAACATCATTTTGGGCTTTTTCCACTGTTAAAATGCAGGTAATCCTCAATTTATGATTACAATTGGCACCAGAATTTATGTTGCTAAGCAAAGCAGTCATTAAGTAAGTTGTGCCCAATTTTATGATTGTTTTGTTGTTAAGCAAATCACCACAGTTGTTAAGCGAATCACACAGTTCTTTAGAAAATCCAGTTTTCCCTATTGACTTCGCCTGTAGGAACACAGGTAGGAAGATTGTGAATGGTGGTCATGTAACTGTGGATACCGCAACCATTATAAATGTTGGTTGCCAAGTGCCCAAATTTGATCATACAACTATGCGGATGAACATAAGTGCAAGGACCTGTTGTAAGACACTCTGTCTCTGAAGTGGGAGGAGTCACAACTGGGTATTAACACAGCCCTTTTGCCCGGAGACTGAGATAAATCTTGAGGCCACACCTCCGCTCCTCCTCCTGACTTCCCCAGATTAACCTCAGTCTTCAGCCCAGAAGGAATACTTTCCTGACTCTCCCTTCACTTCGAAGACCTAGACTTCAGCACTCATTTTTTTTTACCTGATCACCCCTCCTCATTCATGCTTCACCTGCTGCTAACCCTAAAAGCATTGCCGCTGCACTCACGCAAACACCAAGCGGCTGGACGGTCACGGGGGGAGGAGGCCCTTACCTAGCTGCGAATTCTGCAGAGATCCAGCCATCGAGGGATCGCAGGAAGCCAAGAATTGGACAGAGGACAGCCCTCCAGGGAGCGGCAGACTCGGACCGCAGGTTCGACGGTCGCCATCTTGGATCACGGCCATCTTGAAGCATATGAGTGGAGTGTGTGGTTGGCGTGACTGGTTGGCATGGTTACAGACGCCACAGGTGCCCAGAAGAGACCGCCGGAGCCAAAAGGAGGTTGCATGGGCCAGAACTCTGCCAGTAATCTGGGGAGGGCACAGCTGTTGGCAGTGAGCCGGTGTTCAGGCCGCGGATCGGCGGCAAGCTCGGGAGCGCGTGGAGTCTTAAAGCAACAGGGCACGCAGTCGAGCCGAGGCCGACATAACAGGAGGAGGTGGTGAATGTAACCGTGAGTACCGCATGGCTGAGGCTATGAGGAGCAGGGGAGCGGCGGGGCCTAGTTCCCCAGGGGAGTCAGAACTAGGCGAGAGGACCTCCAGGGGGGTTCCCCTGGTCACAAGAGGGAGGTCCTCCACCAAGACAAGCACCTCCAGAGCTGCTAGGAAAGAGATCCCCGGCTGGTTCCACAATCACCAGGCTCAGGGGATTTGTTGCAACCTCCAGATCTTCCCCCCTCCTTCCCAGAGCTCCCTGAAAGCTTTCAGGAGGTTTTAGTCAGAGCCATAGCACAGGGGATTGCCATGGGGATGAAACATCAGTCCCAGGGCTCCAGAAGAAGGGCTTCCCGGGGAAACCCCAAAGGTCATCATGACCAGCCCGGTCACCTGCTCCCAGAGAGGCCAGGTCATCCTCTCCCTCCACTGCCAGCGAGGGTTTGGATCTAGAGGAGGGAGAACTTAAGGACATTGGGTTTTCAGAAGACAAGGACGCCCAGGCCCCTGAGGTGCCTAATATCACCAGTCTTCCCCACCCCTTGTTTAGCTTCTTGTTACGTAAGGCTAAGGCCACGGCAGACCTGGACAACAATCCAGAGCCAGCCCAGCTGTTGCCACCCCTGGCACGAGCGGGGGGAACAAGAAGGGGCCCTTCCACAGGTGGAGAAGGAGAAGAGCCCCACCCCAGACCTTTTCCTAGAGGTGCTTAAGTCCTAGTGGGTTAAGCCAGGTTCCTTCCCCAATCCGGGGAGCAATGACCGCAGGTTCTATGATCTTAATGCTACCTTCGCCCAAACCTTACAGGTTCCTCCAGTGGACACTCCGGTCGCTAACCTGGCTTCCTCTTCTACGGTGGTGACTGGAGACCTCTGTAACTGCCTCAAAGCGGAGGACAAGAGAGCAGAGATGGTAATGCGCAAAACATTTCAAGCAGTGACATGGGCAATTAGGGCAGCGGCCGCTGCCTCCTTTTTCAACAGGTCCACCCTGCTATGGCTGGAGCAACTTCGGGACAGGACTCCGACATTAGACATGAGGCTGCTACAGGACATCACCAAGTTAATGGCAGCCACCCAATTCTCAGCTGATGCCACCCTGGATGTGGTAAAGTATTCTTCTAGAGCCTTATCATCCTCAGTAGCATCCAGGCGCTAACTGTGGCTACGCCATTGGGAAGCCGAATCCTGGGCGAAATGGCACTTGGCAGGAGCAGATTACACCAGGGACAAGCTGTTTGGCTCATCTCTAGATCCCATTTTAATGGAAGACAAGAACAAACGTAAAGTCTTCCCGACCACGAACAGACGTTCAGAGCACCGACTGGCTCCTTACCCCAGGAGAGCATCTTATTGCCCACCTGAGTCAGAGTTCCAGCAACACCGCACCCAGATTCCCCAGGCAGGGAGATAGGCAGTTTTCCAGGGACAGATTCAGGAGCCAACCACAGGGCAAGTGGCCCTTTCGAGGGGGGGGGGGGCATCCCTTCCACAGGTTCAAGTGATCTGCCCCTGGATCACCCCATTGGCGGACACCTCCTTATTTGCAGATTCCTGAGAACGCATCACCTCGGATGAGTGGGTCATCCAGACTGTTAAGCTTGGGCTACAGCTGGAGTTCGCTCGCAGCCTTCAAATAGGTTCCGAACCTTTACCTCCTCGAGGAATCCGGCCAAGCGCGCTCTCCTGCACAAGGCCATCCAGCACCTGCTGGCCATCAGGGCAGTAGAGTCGGTTCCAGAGGGGGAGAAGGGATCAGGATTCTATTCGAATTTGTTCCTAGTTCCCAAGAGTTCAGGGGGATAGAGGGCCATCTTAGACCTCAAGTTACTCAACTCCAGACTAGTAAACCGTAGGTTCAAGATGGCCTCTCTCAAGTCCATCCTAGAAGGTATTTGACAGGGGGACTTCCTGGCCTCCATCGATCTCACAGAGGCCTACTTACACATCATGATCACCCCTGAGCACCGCAGGTTCCTCAGGTTTTCACACGAGGGTAACCACTTCCAGTACAGGGCCCTTCCCTTTAGGCTGGCATGAGCTCCCAGAACTTTCACCAAGGTATTGGCTGCGGCTGTGGGCTACCTTCGGTCCATCCCTGTCCGGCTTCATTGTTACCTTGATGACATCCTCGTCCTGGCCAGATCCCCGGCCAGGACCGAAAAGGACCTAGGTCTCACCATTGACACTCTAAGGTCCCTAGAGTTCTTGATTAACCTCGAGAAGAGCCATCTGGTTCCCTCCATGAGGCTCCAGCACCAAGGTTCCATCATTGACTCGGTGGCTGGTGAGGTCTTCCTCTCACAGGAGCGTAGGGACAGCATTATTCAGCTGGTTCAGGAGATCCGTAAGTCTCATTCTGTCCCTGTAGTTCTTCTTTCCAGGCTTCTCGGGAAATTCATCTCATGCATAGGGATCGTGCCCTGGGCCCACTTCCATGCCTGAGAGCTGCAGAGGTTCCTGCTCCCGCACCAGAGAGGCGGAATGAGTGACGCGAGCTTCAAGGTTCTTGTGACACCCTAGGTGCTCCTCTCGTTCTATTGGTGGCTGTCGCCAGCTCTAGGCAGAGGGTCCCTATTTAGGGAACCAGAGAGGAACGTGCTCATGACGGACACAAGTCTATTCGGCTGGGGAGCACACCTGGAATCCCAACTAGCCCAAGCCACTGGACCACAACGGATATGCGCAACAACATCAACTGGCTGGAGCTCAGAACAATCCATCTGGCTCTGCGACACTTCAAGGCAACAGTGTCCGGCCAACACATCCTGGTCCTGACAGACAATGTAGCAACCAAGCCCACGTGAACAAGCAGGGGGGCACGCACTCTAAGGCGCTGTGCACCGAGGCCCTCCGGCTGGGGAACTGGGCAAAAAGGAACATCTGATCGATCAGAGCGGAGCACATCTCCGGGGTAGAGAACCAGCAGGCGGACTGGCTCAGCAGGGAGACAATTGAAAACGGAGAATGGCAACTCCACCCCAGCATCTTCCTGCAGATTTGCAAGAAGTTCAGCCGCCCAAAAATTCCTGACCCTCAAGATGGTCTTCCTGGTGGCGATCACCTCAGTCAGAAGGTTGTCCGAGCTTAACACTTTTTCCAACAGGGAGGATCTCTGCTCATTCCTAGACAACCGGGTCGTTCTCAGGCTAGACCCTGCCTTCATGCCCAAAATCAATTCACCCTTTCACAGGGCACTAGAGATTGTTCTTCCGGACTTCTGCCCGAACCCTTCCAGGGAAGGGGAAAGGTCCTGGCATCGGCTAGACATCAAAAGAGCCCTGCGCATCTACCTGAGATGCACGGCGACCTCAGGTGGTCAGAGGTGCTTTTCATCTCCTTCCAACCTTTTACCCGGGGAGCCAAGGTCTCCCCGGTCACCATCAACAGGTGGATCAGATTGGCCATCTCCAAGGCCTATGAAGCTTGAGGGCTCCAGGCTCCAGAGGGCATCAACGTGCACTTCACCTGAAGTGCTGCCACCTCAGCAGCCTGGCCCACCCAGGCTCCCATTGAGGAGATCTGCAGAGCAGCCGCCTGGTCCTCACTCTCGCCGTTCATCAGGCACTACCGGCTGGATGCATACGCCTCTGCGGAGACGACCTTCGGGAGGAGGGTTCTTCAGGGAGTCCTTGACTCTTGTGGGGCTCAGGCCCAGTGATTCCCTCCCACGGACATCTAGCTTTGGTATGTCCCAGTTGTGACTCCTCCCACGCCCCACTTCGGAGACTGTCAGTTGGTCTTACCTGAACTGCATGTCTCGAAGTGGCACGGGAGTAGCCACTTCCCACCCGTTAGGGCGCCCGGCGCTAGGGTCCTGAATTAGTTCAGTTACGGTCAGTCAGGGACCAGACAGGAAGGGTGTGTGCATGTGTTTCTCTGTCCCCTTCCTTTCCAGGCTTCTCTGCAACAGGACCATCAGTTAATCTGGGGAAGTCAGGAGGAGGAGCGGAGGTGTGGCCTCAAGATTTACCTCAGTCTCCGGGCAAAAGGGCTGGGTAAATACCCAGTTGTGACTACTCCCACGCCACCTTCGAATTAAACTTCAAATTAAATAAATGCTTGTATATTGAAGATTATTGGTACATAATTGTGTACATAATCCTAGTCTGGCCTCCAGTTCTATATTTTCTTCTGGGCTGGTACCATGTTTTCTGAATCTTGACCAAGAAATTGGAAAGTATCTTCTCCATCGCAGCTTATATACCACCAGCAGGTGTCCCAAATCTAGGCCTAAGAAAACCAAGCAGCTGGGTGTTGTCCCCAGATATCAATCTCGTCCAGGTCCCACAGCTCTTGTGGACTCTTGCTCCTCTGCTCTAGTGCTGTAACTTCTGTGGGAAGACTGCAGCAAAGTAGTTGGGTGTGGCCACCTTGCATTTTGCTCACAACTCTGTTTGAAACAGGGACTCTGACGGAGATATCTACTGGCCGATACCTGATACTAGTAGACCATTAAAATAATGATTACATTCCTACATTACCCTTAGCTGTGATCCAGATAGCACCGTGATGGCAAATCTATGTAGCAAGCTGTGCCCTCTCTACAGGCATGCCAGCTATCACCCCACCCAGCAGCACCGCACATGCGCGCACACCTCCTGCCGGCCAGCTGGTCTTTGGGTCTCTGCTATGCTTGTGCGGGAACAGGGCGCATGTGGGGATGCGTGCTTGCATGCGCAGGGGGTGGAGTACATGCATAGCTGGCATTTGCATTGCATGTTGGGGCTTTACGCAGCTCTCCTGTACCCCGTTTTGGGCCTGGAAGGCTTCCTGCACCAACCCCGAAGCCAAAATGGGACACGGGCACCATGCAAAGCCCCCTGCGCCCCATTTTGGGCCTGGAAAGCCGCCTGCACCTACCCGGAAGCCAAAAATTGGCAAGAGGAGGAAGGGGAGTAGGGCGGCCCGTCATCCACGCATGAGCGGGCGATGGAGCACACGGTATGCACGGGGGCGGTTTCCCCCGCATGCACAAGGGGCGGAGCGTGCAGGTGTGTGTGTGCATATGCTATTGCACATGTGCGCACTTTCAGCACACAACAAGAAAAAGGCCATCACTGAGATAGCATCTCCTTTTTAAAAAAAATGCTGCCATGTGTATTTTATGCTGCGTATGACTCTCAGATCATTCCGGTGATGTTAAATAAAAATAGCAACGGCATCTCTCTTTTGTCTGTACTGGTCCTGACGTTCTGATGTGCTCTCTCCCTACAGCCCTGTGCTGCCTTATTGGATTCGTGCTGGGCTTGATTTTCGTTCAAGGCTCAGGCAACTATTTTGTGACTATGTTTGATGACTATTCAGCCACTCTGCCCCTGCTTATCGTTGTAGCCGGCGAAGCTTTTGCCATAGCCTGGGTCTACGGAGCTGACAGGTAATTCTCTTGCCTTCCCTCCCATCTCTGCATGTTTCCAATTTGTTTGTGGGATAGGAAGTTGGAGAAAGAAAGGTAGGGTTTTAATCAGCAATCATAATTTTTGTGCAGCCTTTGCGCAAACCATCTTGTTCAGCCGTCTTCTACTTTCGCCTGTATATGTCTTTCTTTCTGCAGGTTCTTGGATGACATAGAAAACATGCTGGGCTGGCGGCCATGGAAAATCTACAGCTACATGTGGCGCTTTGTGAGTCTGGCAGCAATGTTGTGCCTGTTGCTAGCGAGTTTGGTACACCTGGTCATGAAACGCCCCACCTACACCGCCTGGAACAGAGAAAAGGTAAGAAATTTGTCTACCTTTGTGTTTCATGTGTTGCACATGGACTGCTTGTCTTCTGTTTGAAAACAAACAAAAATTGTCAGAGATTGTTGCATAAATTCAAATCCAGAAGCACACAAAGATAACTGATGCAGCTGGATTCATTAACTTTTTTATATACATAAGAATAGATGAATGAATGTACAATACCAACAGGTGGTTCTTCCAAGTAAACACAAGGCAGGAGAGTTACAGGCAAACACAAGCAGTTAGTTTCATTTTTGCAGACAAGCTCAGAGAGATTGCTTGTTTACTTCTCAGAGCAGCAGACTGCTTAAGGTTCTGTTTCAATTCTTTGCACAGACTCAGATCTGTTTAAGCTCCCATTGGCTGACTTAGTTGCTATGCCTATTCATTGGCTGACCTTGTTCCCATGTCTCTCCCAGTCATGAATATTTTAACAAAAATGAAATGAAATCTAGGAACCGTTTAAACTAGCCGTCTCCAATCTCTCCAGCTTTACAGGCTGGTGGGTGGGAAAGAGAAGGAATGGTTCCTTGTGAGCAGCAGGCGAATGCATGCTTGCATGCAGCTCCATTTCCATGAGCGGTGGGCATACGCGCCTGCTGCTTGTACAAATGGAGCTGCAGGCACACACACACACACTTGTCCATTCCACAGCCCTGTTCCAAACAGGCCACAGCCTGTAACTGGGCCCTGTCCCACGGTTGGGGATCTCTTGATTTAAAGGGTGGGTTTGCACAATATGTTTGCCTTAACCTTGGGGTTAGAATTTTTTTTTAAAAGCCACAAGCATTCAGATTATTAAGCCCAAACAAATGCATCATATTATGGCTTACTTATGGAGTAGCATGTGGAGAATAACTTTTTCCACTCAATTCTCTTGCTGACACAACCAGGGAATGTACAGAGGAGGCCTGATATAAAAGGGAGATAATGCATCTATAATTTCCTCTCTCCCTTCCCTTTCCAGGCAGAGGAGGAGCAGCTGGAATACCCACCATGGGCCTTGGGCCTTCTCATTAGCCTGATCGTTGTGGCTGCTCTACCCATTCCAGTCATGTTTCTTAGGCAGCTCTTGCTGGAACGGTTTTCCCAACACAGCCACAGCTCTGGCCAAATGCCTGTTCCCACCGAAGAAGAAGATGGGGTGCAAGAAAAAGAAAGTCCAGCTGATCTTGAGCTCGATCCCCTAGGCAATGGTTACTTGCTTGTGCCTGCAGAAGAGGGGCAGGAATAGAATGGGTGATGTACAGGTAGTCCTCGACTTACAACCATAGTGGAGCCCAGAATTTTGGTCATAAGTCATTGCGATCATAAGTTGGGGCACCACATGACCGAACTTGATTTTTATGACCATTTTACAACCAGTCATAAAGTGAGTCAGTCACAGTTATTAAGTGAATCGGGGACCTTAAAGCAAACCCAGTATATATCCAATGGGCGTTTTTTGCCATTTTTTGGTTAGAAAATGGCAAAAAACGTGGCAGATTGTAGTCACATGACCAAAAGCTGCTGCAGGCGGTTATACAAGCAAGTCAGTTGCCAAGCACCCAAAATGCAGTCATGTGACTCTAGTAGAGTGCGGCAGTCATAACGTAGGGGACGAATCACAAATAGCTTTTCTGAAGTCCCTCGTTGCTTTGAGCGGTCGTTAAGCAGCTATTTTGAAGTGCATCGTAACTTTGAATGGCTATTAAGCGACAGTTGCTAAGCGAGAACTACCTGTATAGAATGTGCAATTCTCCACCTATTTGCTGCTGCATTTTCAGCCTTTTAACAGCCTTACTAAGAAAGAATATTTCTTTTCGTCTCTAAAAGGAGAGACTCATTATAGTGACTTCAGAGACTGACGCCAGGTCCAAGGCTTCTGAAACTAAATCATCATAGCTTTTCCACTGGAAGCTACAAAATTCTTAATTTCCGGCTCTCTCAGAGTCATGCTTGTCCATACCTATTCCATTGATAATGGTGGAATGGGACCTGAGTGGCTATTGGTAGGCAGGGAATTCCAAGCAAAGCATTTAAAAGCAAAATCAAGTATTTAATGCTTAGCGCTTATTGGTTAAAGCCTGGTTACCCATTCCTAAAAGTTGAATGTATATGATCTATGTGATCACAGTGTACAGCATATTTTTTAAAGTTAAGGTGGGAGTGAGAGGGAGAAAATAATTTAAAATGTAAATTAGACTGCTTTAATGCTCTCATTTAAGCAGTGTATTTCGCTAGTGCTTCTTTTTAAACCAAGAAGAAAAGCATGGGGAAAGGGTTTCCATAATTCTTTTTTTAGCTCTTAATGATAGTCCTACTGTGGGTCATGTGACTAAGAGGAAACAGGGCTTAGATCAGTTGGCAACATTCCAAGCTCTGTCCAACTATCTCTCCCAAAGAGACACATCGAGGGGTTTTTTCTGACAGTTTTTTAAAAATCCTGGCCTGATCTGGATTACTTCAAATTTGATTCTTTTTTGGGGGGGGGTGTCTTATTCTGCTGATGAACGGGCAGATAAAGTCCCGAGTCCCTTTACATAATTTGTTTGTGGCATTCCATTGGGTTGGAAAGAATCAAAAAGTTAATGGTAACACAATTGGTGTGTTTAAAATATTAATAGGTCACTAAACTTTAAAGTTGTAACTTTAAACATTTTTTTTTTAATACAAAAGAAGACAATTGTTAAGGATATCTGGAGATCAGCTGATGTTGTGGCATCGGACACGAGGGGCTAGTTTCCGCGCTCCTGTGCCGAATTCTCCCCACTGGTGGGATCCGAAAAGAGCCAAAGCCTCCTGTAGGGGAGGCGAAGCAAAGAGGCGTGCCCTGTCACATCTCTTGTGCCGGACCCGAGGCTTTTCTTTCCCTCTCAGCCATGGTGTGGAGAAGAGACAGCCTAAACATGGCTGCCACAAAGCTGGGATACCTGACAAACATCTAAGAGTGGTGCTGGCATGAAGTTTGTGAACAGTGATTGGAGCTGAGTGAGAAGATCCCTTTTTTGGGTATTTAGTCCCTAAACTTAAAAGAAAAAAAGAAGAAAATCTAGGAAGAGAAGCTCAGAATTACCTTCTTTAAAGCGGCGAATAACCATAGAGAGAAAAATCCTAGACTCGGCTGAAAGGAGGGAAAAGTTAAAGATCCTTTAATCCAAGAAAATTGAATTTTTAAATTGGATGGGCGTTGTTATGGGAAGGCATTATAAAATACTGGAATTATTTATCTGAACTTACTTGAGTACTTAATAGTGTCTCTACAAATTGAAATATATTTGGATTAATTTATCACGTCTGAAACAATGCTGAAAAACCTGTTGATGCAGCTATTTACTGGTGAGTGGAATATACTACACTTCTACAAATCTAGAAAAAAGGAGAGAAGAAATAAATAACACTTTTTTGAAGGATTGTGGTGAGATTAACTGTTCTATAATTAACTACTTCATTATTGTGAGAATAAGACTCTTACGTAAAGTGACTTTTGTTGTGTGAAAATTGCCTAGATCCGTGATGGCGAACCTATGGCACGCGTGCAACAGGTGGCACGCGGAGCCATTTGTTAGGGCACAAAAGGCGTTGCCCTGTCAGCTCCAGTGCTCCCCAGCTGATTTTTGGCAGTTTTTTGCTCTCCAGAGGATTCCCTGAAGCCTCCAAAGGGCGAAAAACAGCCCAAAGCAAACCGGAAATGAGGAGAGAGCTGCCCGCACCGGGGGAAGGGGGAGGACACAAGTGGCAAGGAAAGAAGAAAAGGGCCTTTTCCCCTTTCGCTGGCTGCTCTGTTTCCCCCCCTCCCCCCTGCTATTAAAGGGGATCCTGCCTGATCGCTGGAATCCAAAGGGAAATGAGGAGAGAGCTGCCTGCAGGGGGGGGGGGGGGAGACCAGCAAGGAAAGAAGAGGCTTTTTCCCTTTTGCTGGCTGCTATGTTTTCTCCCCACCCCCCGTGCTATTAAAGGGGATCCTGCCTGATCGCTGGAATCCAAAGGGAAATAAGAGAGCTGCATGAGACAAGTGGCAAGGAAAGAAGAAAAGGGGCTTCTTTCCCTTTCACTGGCTGCTCTCTTTCCCCACCCCCCACCCCGGTGCTATTAAAGGGGATCCTGCCTAATTGCTGGAATCCAATTCTTTCCTTGTCTTTCCCCCATGCAGGCTTTAGATTCCAGTGATCAGGCAGGATCCCTTTAGATTCCAGTGGTCAGGCAGGATCACCTTTAATAGCATGGGGGAGAGGGGGAAACAGAGCAGCCAGCGAAATGGAAAGAAGCCCCTTTTCTTCTTTCCTTGCCACTTGTCTTTCCCTCGTGCAGGCAGCTCCCTTCCTCATTTGTCTGTTGACTGTAGTGCCCAGGATCCTCTGATTGGGGGGGTGGGGGGTGTTAGCAACCAGATTCACACCTGCCGGTGTAAAAAGGGCCCAATCTTTACACAGGATAATGATAAGGGAAGGTTTTTTGACGCAGGAGCACACTTGAGCATCTCCCCCCACCCCACCCGGTCTCTTCCCATTTGTGGCAGAGCAACTTCCCTCCTCGCTGGGCGTTAGCCAAGGGGAAGCATCCAGAACAGGGAGTGGCAGGGAAGCCTTGCGCAAAAATGCACGGTCCACGCAGGTGAGGGGGGGATTATGTTATGTGGGTGGGCACTCGAGTGCATGTGCACACACTCACGTGTTTTTGGCACCTGAGGCGAAAAACATTCACCATCACTGGCCTAGACTATCTAAATGGGATCGATCAATAATTTTGGGATGTAAAAAGCTATGACTATTGAACTTTTTGATGAGCAAAATTGGAACAATATATATGGTTCATGGCCGTGACTAAAAGCGGATGTATTAAACTAACATAAGATGTTTTTTCCAGGAGGATTTTAGTGATTTAGTGCTTCAAAGATCCAGGGGATATCATGATAAAGAACCAAAGAGAGATAAAAGACTTAATCCAAGGCATAAGTGGGAAATTAGAAAAAAATGATACAGCTGACAATGATTGAAAAGAGACAAAACAACGGAAAGAATGGATAAAAGATAGAACAGACAAACCACCAAATAAACCAACAGGACAAGAAAATTTATTTGAAAAATATAAAAATGGGGCTGGAATTGGATAATCTGGTAGAGGTTTTTGAAAGGGAGAAAGGAGTAGGTTGAGTATTTTGGAGATCTGGCAGCCTAGGAGGAGACAGATGGGAGAAATATTTAAATGGAATAATGAAGATATAGATGTTGATAAAAACAAGGATCCAAGAAAGAAAAGCCAAAAAAACCCAACAACAATTAAAATTGAAGTATTAAAACAGGCAAAAGATGATGGATAGAAAAGAATTTTTTCTTTCTTTTTTCTCATATAATGATGGCTTGATTAAAAACTAGAAATAGAGATAGAAATAAGAATATGCATCTTTAAAAGGGCAATGCCTTAATTAAATATGTGTATTAATATTAGGATTAGTAAAAGTGACTAGATTAGAAGTCAGAATAGAGGTAGAAATAATTAGAGGGAAGCAGTTATCTATATAAATTGAATATAACTAGATGGAAAGGTGAGAAATTGAAAGATGGTATTACTATGCATATTTAAGAAGATTATTGATATTAGAATGGAATATGGAAACATTGAAACAAACAAATCATTGAACAATCAAATATGTTAATATTAGGATTATACAGGTTTGGTTAATGTAATAATTGACTTGTTATTTTTATTTATACTCAGAGGCCACACTGTTCATGTATTGATGTTGTTTTATGTTTAAAAACAAAAACCCAATAAAACATTTTTTTTTAAAAAAAGCTTTCTATAGAAGGGAAGACTGCACTATTATTCCATTCTTTTTAAAAAGCTGCCCTTTGTATGATCGGGGAACGAACAGAAAAGACATCTGGAAAACAAACCAGCTTCCAGGTGGATAGTTTGTGCATATGAGCTTCCTTTTTCAATAAATGTGAATAAACAACACACAACAATTCCATATCGTCTTGGAAGACGCATGACTTGTGCTGGAGGACAGTAAAAATGAAAGTGGAACCTTAAAGGACCTGTGAATAAAATATATTTAAGTAGACTCTCTTCCCTTTTACACTTACAGTTTGAACAATTGTCAAAGAACCTTTTTCCATTCCCCATGAAGGCATCTTTAAAACTTATTTGTTGGACAAACTGACTGGAGAATTACAGTTACTGGATTTCAAGACACTATGCTCCGCAGTGATCAGTGGTAAAAGGAAATGAGTCGATCAAAAAACATGATGGCTAGACACCATCCAAGTTCACACCAGCAACAACATAGAACAACTGAAAGAAACCATACAAGACAAGAAAATGCAGAGTCAGCTGGGAATTCCTGAGAATTGGAGATGATTGAACAGATAGCAATGTCATGTTCTGCAAAGAGAATGAATGAGATCCAGGAAGAAAACACCTGATGTCCAGGTGCATTTGATGCTAAAGCATCTATGCCTCACACTGGTATGTGTTCCTCCCTATTCCATTGGTGGGTTCCTACCGGTTCAGCTAAACCGGTAGTGGTTTGGCGGCCTGGGTCACTGGAATTGGCAGCGACCAAGGCCTGCCACGGCCCCAAACTGGTTCTCTGTAGAAGTGCCATCTTGTTTTTTTGCTTCTGCACATGTGCAGAGCAATTTTTATTGTACTGCACATGCGCGTGCACAGCACACCCACGAGCATAACAGCAGTAGTGACTGCCGGAATCCACCCTTGCCCTATTCCCCAAAATCCATTTTAGATTGTAAGCTCCTCAAGAGCAAGGTACCACCTAATATCTGATGACATCACATCCTTTCTTGTTCTAAAGCAGTGTTTCTCAACCTTGACAGTATTAAGATATGTGGACTTCAGCTCCCAGAATTCTCCAGCCAGTCGTGCTGATTGGGGACTTCTGGGACTAAAAGTCCACACCTCTTAAAGTTGCTGACGTGGAGAAACACTATTTTAAACTAATTTAGAATTAAGTGTTATACCGGTGACTTGGAAGCATCTCTGGGTTGGAACCTCTTAGGATGGTTGTCCAAATTTTTTTTTTTTTAATGGAAGAGTGAAGTTGTCAAAATACATTGCCAGTTATGTTTAACCTGCACAAGGCTGATGTAAGCAGTTATGGTGGTGCAGTTTGAGAACTCTGTTACTGCTAGTGGTATGTTTATTTCTTGCATACCAAATCATAGCCTGCCTTCTGTAAGATTCTACTTCAGTGGGAAATAAAAAGGAAGATGGACTTTTTCAGTACTCTTGTCAGAGATTATAGCTCAAAGAGCTAAAAGCTTTGGCGAAGTAATTAGACTGCTTGTTTTATAATATTCTCTATGGGGAATTACTGGACTCTTTCAATAGTTCAGTAAATGAACTGTATGTTGGGTTTTAAATTTTATTTTGAGGACTTCCCTAATGCAGAGAAGAACAAAGCAAGTAATCAACACTCCACTGTTCTGATGAGAGGTGTCAATTTCTTATGAGGGAACAGAACCTGAAGTCAACAAATGAGCCTTAAAGATGAAAACAGATATGTAATTGTTTCCTCCTTTCTCTTCAATAAAAGCTATTTAGCACAAACAATTGCATTGTATTAGATTCCTGGGGTGGGAAAATGTGTCTTGGTTGATTTAAACTTCTTTATCATACATTAAAGAACTGCAGTGGCAATAAAGATAAGTTGTTCAAATTAGGGAAGTTTTCCTTCCTAAATCAGGGCACTTAAAAACAGATGTGGCTGTCCCAATTTATTTCATTTTGATTTGAACATCTCAGTCACTCTTTATGCTATAAAAGTTCCAAAATGTGAAACAGGTTGTTTCAGGGATTTTGGCATTCTCCATTCAAAATCGGATTTCATGAAATGGTTTACCCCAAATGGTTCAAAATATAATATTTTTCCTGTTGTGTCTGTTACCTTGAAACTCAAGCACCCGAGTTTGACGTGGAGCTAATAAAAACTTGATCCCTGAATTTGAGAGAAACACTTTTACTTTTGCAAAGGGGCTTCTTTTCCCACCTGAAAATATGAATAATCAAAAATACAAATCACCAAGTAATTCAGGCAAAACAAAAAGCATTTATTAAAGGATGGTGTATTTATTGGGTACAGAAACAATATGACAAGTGTATTGTTATACGTGACATTTTAGAACAGGAGTCTGCGGTTTGAGCCCAACACCAGGGTGTGGCCTATTCACAACTGGGCTGCATGAGTGGTGGGCACCAGCGGTCGCAGCCCCACTTTCACACAAATGAAGATGTGCGTGTGCGCAACTGCACTCACAAAACCATCCCTCTCCCTCCCTCCCCGCTGCTTTGGAAAGCAAGTGACCAAACAATAAAAACGTGCATTGCAAGTTTTAAGAAAGGTACAAACCCAGCTGGATTTATGGGTTACATTACTCTTTCCCAGCTGGATTTCCATCTTTCTTATAATTGTATGCGAGACTTGAATAGAAAATTCTAGACAACTAGATAACAAAAGTGGCAAATTTATGGATTGCATTTCAGCTGAGTTTGTATCTTTCTTAAAACTTGTGGATGTATTCAGAATATCCTGTCGTCTTTAGCAAATTCTTGAATATCAAAAGATGTTTTTGGCCAAGAGTAGGGGGGGAAAAAAAGTGTTTTCCTGAAGTTTACAGTGCCTTACAGGAACTGATGGGATTGCATTTTCAGATATATATTTTTTTAAAAGTGGTTTTGAAAAGACCAGCTGCCTGTTCCAATTGTGTAAACTCATAATGCATGGAGGAAGAACAAAAACTGCATTTGATTTAATGTAATTGAAATTAAAACACAGTTGAAATGTACCGATAGAACAATATCTGTACCTCAGGGCACAACTCTGGAAACTCTGAACTTGGTGGTATTCTTGCAGACATTTCATTACCAAACTAGGTAACATCAGTGTTATAAGAGAGGGGAGGTTTGCACCGGTGTTGCTATACCCAATTCAGTAATAAAACATCTGCAAACAAACCACCAAGCTCAGAGAGCACAAAGAACCCCATAGCTGAAATGCTTCCATATTTTATAATGTTTACTATCAATTTAGAATTACACAATTTGTAATATTTGGAGAACTCTGCAAGTTAATAAGACTCATTTAAATCCCTAAAACTTTAGGTTGTATACCTTTGATACACTTGAGATCCTAGTACAGGTAAAAAAAAATTATTCAACTTTAGGACATCTAAAACTAAAAAATCAGAATCTATGTCTTTATTTGATCCAGGAAGGGGAAACTTTGAGAATCTATTCTTTCTGGTGGAGAAAAGTTACTTATGTGGTTGCTAAATGTTGGCACAACTTGATAGCACATCTATTTCCTTCCAAACACCAGATAATTCTAAGCAATTTGGTTGCCGTTTGTCTATTATTAAATTCACGTGCAGCCCATTTCATTGTCCTGAGTAATTCTGGACCGTTTACAATAGAATAAAAGCTTAAGTATAAAAACATTTAAAGCATTAAGATTAAAATTAGCAACAATTAAGTAAACGTTAAGATCAAGAGCATAAACAGTATAGGGTTAGGGGTTTTTATAAGTTAAAAAAATATCCTAGTTGAATTCAATTCCTGATGATATAACATCGGGGTGTCATACTATTTCATTGAGGGCTGCATCAGGTTTGTGTTTGGCCTGAGGGGGGGGGGCAGAGTGGACTTTGCCAGAATAGGTGTGGCCAGCTCATCACTCATCTCAGGGGTTCCTGTGGTGGCCCGAACGCTTTACCAGTGAAAACAAGTTTGACAACTCTGATAGTTTCATTGGCAACAATATGGGCATTTTTCTGTGGTTTGCATAGCCAGTCAGTATAGTGATTAAGGCGCTGGCCTAGAAACCAGGAGACTCTGAGTTCTTGCCCTGGACATGAAAGCTGGCTGGGTGACTCTGGATCAGTGCCTGTCTCTGAGCCCAACCAGCCTCACGGGGTTGTTGTGGGGAAAATAAGAGGAAGGCAAATTTATGTTTTAATAATACACGCGCCATAAAAATCTTTGCTATTCCTGCATTTCAAATTATATGTAGTTTTTCACTTTGACTAAAGAGGGTTTTTTCCTGCATTTCTATTTTAGCTCATTGAAGAATTCTTAAAACTCCCCATTTCACACAACCATGATTAAGCTATTAGCTTAACTTTATTTTATGGGGCGTACAATAGTTAGTCCTCAACATACGACCTCAATTGGGCCCCAAATTTAGGTTGCTAAGTGAGAGATTCATTTAAGTGAGTTTTGCACCATTTTACAACTTCTTGCCACGTTTATTAAATGAACCACTGAGGGGGGTTAAATTAGTTACACTGTTGTTAAGTGGATCCGGATTCCTCATTGACTTCGTCTGAAGGTTGCAAAAGGGGATTGTATGACCCCAAGACACTGAAACCGTCATAAATATGAGTCACTTGTCAAACATACAAATGTAAATCACATGGTTTAAATAAGGGGGATACTGCAGATCATCAGTGTGAAAAATAGTCATAGGTCACTTTTTTATTGCCATTGCAACTTCGAACGGTCATAGGTGAACTGTTGTAAATCGACGACTAACTATCCCGCCTGGTTAGCCTTTTAGCGACCTGTACAACCTTGCGTATTTACGCAGAGGCAAATCCAACATTTTTTGAGTTGAAATTCATTGTGCTGCCCCCTATCGGCAATGCCGGAGGATTAAAGTCTTTCTTCGAACGGGGCGGGGCCTCCCCCGCCTCGCACGATCCCTTACCTCTCATCGCACGATCGCTTTACTTTCGCCCCTTCCTTTAGAGATGAACGACGGCACCGGGGTCACGTGACCCACCAAGCTGCGGAGGGGGGGGTTATGCCCTTACATGTACTTGCTACAAAAACCATTCTGCGCATGAGCTGACTGAAGTTTGCCCTGTTGCTTTTACTCGCCTCCCCCCTCCCTACCTTCCTTCCTCGGCTCTTCCAGCCGGCAACCAGAAAAGAGGACGTCACGGTTTCAGCCCGCCTCTCCCTCTCTCGGGTGCCGTTCGCTGCATCGTCACGTGACCGGCAATGACCCTCTCCCTTTCTCCGCGTTGCTTTTCCTCCCGCCCCCCTCTCACTTTTTTTTTAAAAAAAACCCTCCTGTCCCCCTGCCGGCCGCTGGATCACGTGACTCTATAAAGCGGGTTGCCGCCTTGAGTCGGGCACAGCTGAGTAGAGTGGAGCGATGGCGGCGGCAGCGGCGGGTCCCGGGAGGGAGCGGGAGCTCCCGCCTCGCATGGAGGGTGAGCGTGCCGGGGCTCGGGGAGCAGGGAAGGCGGGGCGCGGCAGCCGGGCCAGCCTGTCGGAGGCTGAACGCCAAAAGCACGCGCGGAGCTGCCTCTCCGAAGACGAGGGCATGCCCGGGCATGAAGATTTCCATGGCTCCCTTCGCCCTTTAGCCTGAGCGCCTCGATGCTGCTCCTCTCCTACGGAGATCGGCTCCGACAGTCTCCCTCCCCACCCAGCCAGTCCCCCCATTGCCTCTGCTTGGCGGAGGGCTGCAATCTCGCCGGGTTGAGGAAGGGCAGGGCCGTGGGCATGTTTTGTTTGTGTCCGTGCGACAACCCTGCCAGGTAGGTTCAGGTGGCGGGCAAAGAAAAAAGACAAAAACCCTCGGCTGGCTTTGGGCTTCTCCTGCTTCCTCCTTGAGAATCTCGGGGTGCTTTCCATCTATGGGAGGCTTTACTCTTGGTGAAGTGATGCCTTTCCTCGGGGCGACTAAATCAGAATAAGGATTTTGAAACGACAATAGGGGGAACCTATCCTAGCAGGAGAGTTTTATTTAGCGCTCCAAGGATGCTGAGCCGGGATTCCGATGAGGATCTGGTCATTGATGATTTAGATTTCTTAAAACCACCCGACTCGAGAGCAACTCTTAATTCAGATTAAAAACAAAACCATAGTGCATTAACAATTCCGATGAGGATCTCGTTGACGATATTTAGATTTCTAAAGGCACCCGACCTGAAAGTAACTCTGGTTCAAATTGAAAACAAAACCACAGTACATTAATACACACACATCCACCCCTAAGGAGGAGGAGGATGAAGGAATAGGAATAGATTTATTACCAAGAACAAATCCAGATTATTTGCAAGAGTGGGAAAAAGCCAGTTTCAAAGACAGCAGAGTTGGCGGTGTTCAAACCTCTGGGTGGTGGAGGTGGGCGATGCAAGGGCAGATTTCAGGTGCTGCAAATGTTTGAAAAGGTTCTCTGCACAGTCTTATCTTGTTAAAATTGTTGTAGTCACAATAGTTCAAGTGGCTGGTGCACAAAGGAACACAATAAGTTCCCAAAAATCAAAGCCACAACAAAACATTGAAACGTGCGATGGCGATGGATGCTAGCATCAAAGTAGAAACTGAAAATCTATATAAGGGCAGTGTCTTCAGGAAGTTAATTAAAATGTCACATAATCGGCACAGAAACTTGAATTCTTAACAAATGAAATGAGGAAAAGCGAAAAATTGGTATTGTAGTGAAGCTGTGAAGTATATTCCAGGTGTTTCTAGATTATTTTATTGGGCTAAGCTTTCCCTTTCTTAAATGTGCAAGTGCTCCAAATTTATTCCAACTATAATACATCCATTTTTTAAAAACTGTTATTTGTGTCCCTCCCTCCCTCCCTCCCTCTCTCTCTCTCTCTCTCTCACACACACACACACACAAAATAAATATCCAGTAATAAAGAGAAAGTGTCCATCTCATAATCATAAGTTATAAAACATTCACATTCAGTTTTGCTTTTCACATCGATCCTTTAGAGTGAAGACTTAATATATTTAAAGGATGATAGATTTGATTTAAATCGCGAGTTTAAGAATCATTACTTTCTTGTACTTTGATATAGAAATACATTTTTCAGTACTCTGGTACTTTTTGATTCAATTTCTGAAAAATTGAATTACTTTGGTATTTGATACACCTGGTTGTCTTATCTGGAGATTCAAAAATTATTCTCAAGTGACTCTATGGTGTGATGTCTCAGTAGGATTTAATTCCTACATTTTCTCCAGCAGAACTCAGAAATTTATTTTAAGAAACTGTACGCCCACCACCCCTTCTTCCTCCTGTCCAAGTCTTTTCCATTTCTCCTCCCTCCATCTTTGTCTTCTGTTTTACAAAGACAGATAAAAAATAGTGTATCTTGTCAACAAGGCCAATCAATTGATTGGTATTAACCAATATGCTGATAAAATGTAATTCAAAGTTCAAATGAATATTGATATTGATGTGTTCGAATTAAATAAAATCTCAATAACATTTTAAAATGTGATTTAATTAAGATCCTCATTTTTTTAAAGAAAAACAGTTATCCATCTTGATTGCCTGTTTACATGGTTTGTTACTTTGATAGTTGTCCTGTTAATTTAGATCGTATAATTTAGTACTTGAACTATATTTCTTTTTTTCTGCCTATATTTCCAAATTTGAGAAAACAAAGAGAAAAAATATTCTCAATTTTTAGGTAAACAGATATCTTTTGGTGGGCAGAAATCAAAACTAGCAAAATAATTTTTTAACAATATTGAAGTTTATCTGAAGTACTAAATTTTAGAAATGTATCTAATAATTTGCTACTGTATTTTTTGACAATAAAATTCATTTCTTCATCAAAATAGATATATGAATTGGGTTTGTTTTTCTCTAGCCATTGATATGGGTGTTATAGTTCTTGCTGTGGCCATTTATGTTATTTATTTATTTTTTGTTATAACCTGTATTGGATTTTGTTTGTTTTGTTATGGATTTGTTTCTTTTGACTTTTAATTGTGTTAGATGCCCAGAAATGGGCAGCCATGTAAATAAATGAATGGTCCTTGCTACAGATATTGGTGCTAACGTGTATTAAGTACCTAGTTAATTCTTTAAACTTAAAAAGATGATGCTTAATCAGATTAAATAATAATGTTTCCGAATCATATTTTTTTTTGGCCACAACAGAAATCTAAAAGCTATTTAGGAGCCAGAGGGGATGTTGCTTAGGGAATTCTGGGAGTTGAAGTCCACACATCTTAAAAGTTGTGATTAAATTGAGAAACACTTCTAGATTATTGTTCAGTGAAATATTGCCTCCGGAAATAGTTCTGTTTGGCTCTCTGGATGATAATTATCGCTAGAAGTGCTTTCTGTAAATCTGTCTCATTACTTTATCAAAATCAAGTTAGTGATCATTACGTAAAGGACAAGTCCCTGCTTGTTAGCAACTTACAATCTAAATTTAGATCAGGAGGGTTGAAAAAGGCACAAGGTATAAATGTGGAAAAAAACAGGGAGACATAACCTGCAGCATGTTTTATGTGGGTCCAGGCACTAGAGATGGTTTTGAAATTTCAGAAAAATGCAGTTTTACTCTGGTGTAAAACCCATTTTTAATTGGCCATTTTGGAGGAGGTGAATGGGAGACAAGGATGTATTACTCTGTCAGGCAAAGATTCTTTCTAGATCACATTCTTTGCTGATCATGGGGAAGTGTTGACAGAATAGAAAACATGGGAGGTAGGAACATGTATGTGCAAAGATTCGAGAATACAGACATATGTTAAGGGGGAAATGGCTAAGTGAGTACTGAACTTTTTGTGAACCTGGCATCACTGCTAACCTATATATCTACTTTAGCCATGCCGAACATATTTTAAAAACAAGTTTCATTTTCACATTGCTCTAACATCGGGTAAACCAAAGGTATTTTGTCATACAAATTAATAACAAATATAGGTACAGGTAGGCCTCAACTTACAATTGTCCGCTTAGTGACTGTTCCAAATTGTGATGGACCTCCCCAAGGCTACTTACAACCCTGGTTGAAAGTTCCGATGGCCATCTTCCCCCCCCCCCCATGCATGGTCATGTGATCACATTTTGAGTGCTCCGTAACTGGCCCTCATCTACATCTGTTTGCAGTGTCCTGTGGTCACATGACTACGATTTAACACCATTCTTTTTGACAGAAACCAGCGTTTACTTTCAATTTTCCACCCATTGGGGATGACAGACTCACTTAACAATCACGGCAATTCACTTAATGACCGCTGCAAAAAAAGGTTGTAAAATTGGACATGGTCACCAGATGACCCAACAAACAGCATGATTTGCAACCATAATTCCAGGATAACTTAGGGTCATAAGTCAAGAACTACCTACATAAAGCTCTAAGAAGCTCCAAGTCAAACAATTTTTAAGTTATGGCTGTCGTCTTCAGGTCCCTCTGACATCTGTGTGAGCCAGGTAGAAGAATGCTGACGTTAGAGATAAATTATCTCTGCCTGGATGATTTTAGATCCTTGGTCCCTTTATTAGTTCTAAAGAGAGTCCAAAAATAATGAACTGATACTTGGAGCAATTACATAAATATGCTGCTTGGTAAATAATTAGTCATGATAAGACTGTCTTGAAAGGAAATGGGTGGCATGTCAGAGAAATGAAAAAGGAAATTGATTGTATTTTCTAGAACTGATGAAGGAAGAACTTGATTTTCTTTATCATTTTTATTGACATTTGCAACGGGTAAATTTCGTGCAGTGGTAAAGGGGTTTCTTGGTTAAAAGATGAGTCAACCATGTTGACATGAGTAAGAGTATGTACAAAGGTTCACATGCTGTTCTGTAAGTTTGCTTTTTAGTTTCTGTTCATCATTCTCTTAGTTTCGATTCATCAGTCATCCGTTCCATCCCCTTGGACACTGTGAGATTCACCACCCTGTCTCCAGTAGATGAAAACCTCCAGGGAAGGTGAAGAAACCACTCTAGACAATGCATAACCCATTCCATTGTCCAGAAACTCTGATTTTCAGGTTCTTCCTAATATCTAATCTGTATCTACATCCTTGGAAGATTCATCCCATTAGCTTTGCTTTACCCTCTGGAGCAAGGGAGAATCGTCCTAACCCTAACTCTCTACAACAGGCTGTCGAACTCAAGGCCCGTGGGCCGGATACAGCCCACAGGGTACTTAGATCTGGCCCATGGGGCCTCCCTAGAGGCCTGCAGTGCCTCAGCCAGCGAAAATGGAGCTCGGGCAGGCCACGCTCCTGTTTCTGCTGGCAGAGCGCTCGGGCCACCACACGCACCTCCAACATGAGTGAGTTGGCCACGCCCCCCAGCCTCCCCAAGGTCAAACTCAATCCTGATGCGGCTCTCAATGAAATCGAGTGTGACACCTCTGCTCTACAACAACCCTTTGGTCATTTTGGAAGAGTATGACAATCCTTCGGATATTTAAGGATGGCTAGCATGCCCCTTCCCAATCTTTTCTTCTCCAACCTAAACATGTCTAGTTCTTTTAACCATTCCTTATAGGGTTAATTCGTTTTCCAGATCTTTCATCGTCCTGGTAGTTCTTCTCTAGGGTTATTTCTGTTGATCAAGCGCAGGACTCAGCACAATACTCTGAAGCCTGACCAAGGCAGAGCAGAAAAGGACAATTACTTCCTGTGAGCTGGACTCTACGCACCTCTTGATGTTTTTCAAGAGGTTGTTGGCCTCCTTTTCAGTTGCATTACACTATTGGAATAGGTTGATCTTGTGGTTCATTAGTACATCTAAGTATCTCTTACCTGTGCCCTTCCTGAACCAGATTTACCTTATCCTGTACATACTTCTCTCGTTTTCCTTATCTAGTTCCGTAGTCTTAACATTTCCCGCTACAGGAAGACCATGGCTTAGTACAGTTCATTTAGTAACCATTCAAAGGGCACTGAAAAAGTGACTTATGACTATTTTTCATACTTGCGGCCATTGCAGCATCCCCGTGGTCATATGATCGTAATTTAGATCCTTGGCAACTGGCTCGTATTTTTGACGGTTGCAGTGTCCCAGGATCATGTGATCATCTTTTGCGACCTGAGAAGCAAAATCAATGGGGAAGCCAGATTCATTTAATAATTGTGTTACTAACTTAACCATTGTACTGATTCATTTCATAGCTGTGTCATAACAACGTTAGCAAGATACGTTTTGGGCTCAAATGTGTTTGTAAGTCAAGAACTACCTGTACTTATTTTTAATCTACTTGTTCTGGCCTTCTATTCTAGCCTAAGTCTTTTTGTATTTTTCCACTGCCCTCCCTAAGATTAGCTGTTGCCATTTATTAGGCCTGTCATAACAAAACATATAAACTATGTTATAATAACGGCACGTGCCCATAGTGTTATTGTGCTACTCAATTGATTTCTGCCATTCACTGAACAAGATGTGATGACAGAGCATAATAGGGATTAGATGAGTCATAGACAATGGAAGGGGATGTGGTGGCTCAGTGGCTAAGACGCTGAGCTTGTTGATCAGAAAGGTTGGCAGTTTGGTGGTTCGAANCCTGTGTAAGAAATGTATTCTGATTGGTTGTTAGACTCCCATGGGGCCACAGGGGCAACTCTCTAGGCTGTGTTTTGAATCCAGGTTTGGTTGAGTTCTCAGATGCCATGTGGTGAGTGGGTAAAGGCTAATGATGCCTTAATCCCATCATCCTGGAGCTGAAGGGGAGAACTCTTTAGTATGTAAAGGGACTGGCTTTGGCATCTTAATGGCCCATTGACAAAGGGGGTGAGGGCAGGAAGCTGCAGAGAGCTACTCTGTCTTTAAAACATGTTTCTCCCTTTTCACATCCAGGGAAATGTAATATTCTGCCTTTTCAATATTTCCTAGGATATTTCATTTTTTGGGGAGAGGGCTGGGTGATAACTTTCTACAATCCCTCCTTTTTGAAAAAATGTGATTGGAACATACTCGTTCTTGGCAAAATATTAAAATTGGTCAGGTCAGGGAGACTTAATTTTTCTGATGGAAAGGTATTGAGAGAGACAGCAGAAGGATTCCTTCAGTGGCTCTCAGAGAGCTTTCAACCATGAAGGTCTAGCAGCCAGGACACAAGTTCTGGAAAGAGATTTACAGTATCCAATTTTCCATGCCAATTAATATCAGATATCACTTTCTGTGAGCTTCCAGATGGGTTTCAAGCAAGCATAAGTCCCAAAATTCTTCACAGCCATGCTTTTCCTTTAAGTTACAGGCTGCCCATTTCTAAGGGATGGTTCTTGAACCTGCCCTAGCTCTTATTTTAGTGAGGCCAAATTGAGTTTAGTTAGTGTGCAATCCAAGCTATTTAGTGTTGTTTTTTTTTTAAATTACACACAATGAGCCCTGGGGTTCCTTCTCATGAGACCACCAGTGCAACATATCCTGCTTTACTAGGTAACTGGGCAGCATCATTTGTGAGTCACAGTCAAGGTTTGGGCTTTGAAGATCCTTTCTGCTACTCTTCAAGTGGAGGAATTGCCTGAGGGGAATTGACCCTCCCCCATGGGATTAACAGGGAGATATCACTGCTTAGGCTTTTGTGCCAGGGCAAAAATCAACCTAGGAGAAGCTTTGTGTGGAGGTAAGTCAAGGAGATAGTTTCAATCTAGTTCTGAATGGGTTCTGTGTGTGTGTGTGTGTGTGTGTGTGTGTGTGTGCGCGTGCACGTGCAGCTGCTTCTACAATACAGAAAATGGAGATACTTTGGACAAACTTTCCCTCCCACTAGACAGAAATCTAAGGTGTTCAGAACTTGATGTGCTAGCCATTCTCAAATACAATTCTTACATGAGTACATTAAACTGATTACAATATAAATGAGACAAGAAAGAAAACCTTACGAGAGGGCGGGGCTGACGTCGCTATGACACGACATACAATCTTGGAGCTCCAGGATTGCTTTTGATATCTCTGCTGTTGGACGGTCCTTTTGGACCTAAACCATCCTGTAGAGACGGTGATAGAGAAGGGCACGTCGTGCTGCTCTCAGGGGCATCGCAAAGTCCCTGATTGATCGAGGAGAAGCTCTTTTTTTCCCAGCGAAAGAGAAGCAGCCATTGAAGCTGCAGAAGGTTGGGACAGCCCCTGAACGGAAGAAAAGCAGGAGAGAGAGTGTGTCGAAATGGTGTGATAAATTTTACTATTAGAGAAAAGAACACCCAAATAGACTTAGAGTAAAATTAAAATTGAAGACAGAAGAGAGCAAGTGATGAATTAAGACTGAATTAAACTTAGTGTGCTATCTTTTTTATTTTTTATTTTTTTATGGATGGAACTTTTACAAATGCCTCTTACTTTTTAAATTTGACTGGTTTCTTTTTTCCCTCCTTCTATTTTTCCTCTTTTTTCATATTTGTGGATTATGATTTTCTTTCTTTTCTTTTTACAACGCTCCGCTGGATTGTTTGCTTTTAAGCACTTTTTTTCTTAAAGAGAAAAAAGAACTTAAAGAGAGGGGTAGAGGCAGAGGAAAAGAAGCAACACTGCCACCTAGAGGCTGGAGGCTTGGAAACATTGTCCTTTTTTATTTTCTTTGAGCATCTGACTTATATCTAATACTTCAAGGCTCTTGATTGCATTTATTGAAAGGGATAGTGGGAAGAGTACGGATTGTTTATGCAGGTGCTCTTCTGGAGTACTATCAATAGCTGTACTGGAGTGAAGAGAAAACCTTGATTTGAGAGATTATAGTGAACTTGTTTGAAATTTAACAAAAAAGCTTTGGATGTTTTAGTGGCAGTGTTTATAACCTGGAAGAATGGTGCAACATGAAGAAGAAAAATAATTAACATTGCAAATGATTATGTTTGAAATTCAAAAAGTACAAATAATTACAAAAACATTGAAAAGAGGATGGAGAACATAGAACAAAAAACAGAAAAAATAGAGGGAAGAGTTNGCTCCCGTTACTTATCCCAGCTTCTGCCAACCTAGCAGTTCGAAAGCATGTAAAAATGCAAGTTGAAAAATAGGAACCACCTTTGGTGGGAAGAGAATAGCGTTCTGTGCACCTTCGGGCATTTAGTCATGTTGGCCACATGACTATGGAGACATATTCGGACAGCGCTGCCTCTTTGGCTTTGAAACAGAGATGAGCATCACCCCCTAGAGTCGGGAATGACTAGCACATGTGCGTGGGGAACATTTATCTTTACCTTAGAGAATAGAAATTCTTTATATCCTTGGAGTGAGATTCCAGTGCAGGCAGTTGAGCCCAGAATTTCCATTATTAGTCGAGGCAGTTGTTAAGTGAGTTTTCTTTCATTTTATGACCTTTTTGTCGTGGTTGTTCAATGAATCATTATAGCTGTTAAGTGAATTGTGCAGTCATTAAACGAATGTGACTTCCGCCGTTGACTTTGCGAAGCTGCCTAGGAAGCTAGCAAATGACAATCACAGTGTCCTGAAACCATCTTATATATACGCCGATTACCAAGCACCTGAAGTTTGATTGTGTGACTGTGAGGAGGCTGCAATGGCCATAAGTGTAAGAACTGGTCACGAGTCACTTTTTTCCATTCCATTCTAATTTTGAATAGTCATTAAACAAAAATAATTGTAAATCAAGGACTACATGTAGTTCAATGATGTGTAGGAGTTCAGACCTTAATTAACTTGACTATTTTGATACTAGAGGCCTTTCTTCTCCTCATAACGTATGTGTTTTTCTCCCTTTCAGGTACAAGTTCAGATCAAATCCTTCAGACAGGAACCATTCTTCTCAAAAGGTGAATTCAGTATCTTCAGCAATTATCTAGACTAGGGTTTCTCAACCTCGATGAGGTTAAAGAGGTGTGGAAGTTGAAGTTGCTATGGTTGAAAAGCTAAGGTTGAGAAGTACTACTCTAGAGCAGGAGTCACTAACATTTCGGACCTCAGGAACCACTAAATTCATAATTTTAAATCCCGCGGACCGTTAATATGATCTGCCTAATGTCCAGATGGGTGGGCGTGGCTAGGTGGTCATGTGACTGGGTGGGCATGGCCAACTCGATGTGACTCATGTCGAGGGGCGCCTCACCAGCCTCTACTTGCCACTCCTCGCCTCCCGGCCCAGGCTCCTTAGAGCCCCAAAAGGAAGCAGTTGTTGGAGCTAAGCATGAGAAAGAGTTGGCAAAACAGCTGGCTCAGTTCAAATTGGATCTGACCAAGAAGGAGGCTCAGCAGAAGCACCTTACTATGAGCATAGGCTTTCCAAACAGAGGGAAGACCTGTGGGAGTGCAAGGCCAGGTATCAGTGCCTGGAGGCTCAGTGGCTGAGATGGTCAGCCAGTTCCAGGCCATGATGCAGTCCCATTGGAACAAGGCCCTCTGGCTCTTCACCACCAGTAGTGCTTCTCTCCAGCATTCGCCCAAAGCCCTGCACCAGGAGGCTGAAGCAGAACCCAAGTCAGAATTTCTGCCCCCCCCCTCCGACCCACACAAAAAACACTGAAGGGGGAGACTCTGCGGCAACACAAAAGTTCATTGCACGTATCCCTCCCAGGGCCCGTAGTTTGAGGACCCCTGATTTAGTGCAATATAAAAAATGCAAATAATTTTCCTGCGGACCACCAAAATTTTCTCACCAACCACCAGTTGGTGACTGCTGTTCTAGAAGCATATAATCCCCCCTCTTGGAAGGACTAGCAATAAAGCCAAGACTTCGAGCTGTCAATTCTTCTGCCAAGACCTGCAGTGACAGAGCTGGTTGAGATTTCGGGCTGAAAATTCTCGTAGGATTAATTTTATTTTACTGGGATTCTGTTTCAGCTTTATCAGGGATCGAGTACAATGCTGTGGAGATTCAGAGCGCATTGAGGTGACCATGGCAGAGCTGGAAGATCCAGAGGCTCAGGCTTGTAATTCCAATACCAAATCGCTAAGTGACTGCCTGCGCCGGATTGGAGATGAGCTGGATGGAAACACGGAGCTGCAGAGGTAACATGGTCAGGCTTCAGTGTTTGTTGTGCCACCACTGCAGCCGTTATTTCTTCCTTAGAAGATCTAAATTGTTATTTGCAGTCCCATTATTCATGAACACTTCTAAGCAACGTTGGTTGGGGGGGCGGAAAGAACTATAGGGAGACTTTTACTTACAATGCAGTGGAGCCCGGAATTCCATCATACGTCACGACGGTCATAAGTTCAGGCACCCATCTGACCGACCCTATTTTATGATATATTTTGTAGTAGTTGTAGCCCAATTGTTCCATTTTGTTTTATTATTATTACATACATTGTCCATAATGGGCAGATTTTGCCAGAAACTGGAAATAAAATATTGGAGGTGGTGACCCTTTGAGAGCTGTATGCAACAACATTTCATTTTAATGTATGCCGATTACTATACATTCTAAGTGACAATAAAGTTATTCTCTCTCTCTCCCTCTCTCTCTTGCAAAATGCACATGTGCGTGCGCGCACATGGTAATTCATGATCACAAGACCATAGGAAGCTGCAAATGGTCATAAATATGGGCCAGTTACGAAGGGTTCCATCACAAATCCGCGAAGCCCTTATCNGCCCAACAATAAACCATCTTTCCAAGCAGCCTCCATGTCTCCAGTGTCTTCTTCCCCACTTGGAGCTGAACCCAGAAGGACATTTCTTTCAACAAATCCAGTAATACAGTACAGGACTGTAGGGAGGAAAAAACAGAAAGCGCAGTGGCACGACCTGTCAGAACTTCTGGATCATAGAGATGCCATTGCTATTTTTATTTAGCATCACCGGCGTGATCAGAGGACTAACAGAGGCCCCTGGATGCCAAAAAGCAGAATAAGATACATTTGGCAGCATTTTTTAAAATAGTAGAAGCTATCTGTGTCATGGTGTTCTTTTGTTTTGCCAGCTGTGCTTATATTCTAAGACATACGGTAGGCTCACTCTTCTCTGTAAGCCTACTGAGCATGTCCGTTCCTTTCTCTTTTCTTTTTCTGTTTCGCCTGCCACAAGGAGGTAGGCTAGGAACATTACCAGAATGTAGTTATTAGCCATTAAGTTTCTTTGTTATTTATTTTACAATAAAATGTTTGTTAGAATATACCTCGGGTTTATTGCTCTTAATCATAAGGTATACTCCAAGGAAAAACCACGATTCAACCTCTCTTTAAAACACAGGGCTGAATTTACAACCCTCACAATCTGGATCACAGCTAAGGGTAACGTAGGAATGTAACAATTATTTTAATGGCCTAGGAACGACGGTACCGGGGTCACATGATCCACGAAGCCGTATCGGGGATTATTCCCTTGCATGCATTTGCTACAAAACAGTTTTGCGCATGAGCTGACGAAAGTTCGCGTGGTTGCATTTCCACCCAGGATGTCATGGCTTCAGCCCGCCTCTCCCTCTCGAGTGCCGCTGCTTCGTCACGTGACCAGCAATGACCCTCTCCCTTTCTCCGCGCTGCTTCCCCCCCTCACACGTTTTTCCGCCTGTCCATCTGCCGGCTGCTGTATCACGTGACTATAAAGCGGGTTGCCGCCTTGAGTCGGGCACAGCTGAGTAGAGTGGAACGATGGCGGCGGGTCCCGGGAGAGAGCAGGAGCTCCCGCCTCGCAAAGAGGGTGAGCGTGCCGGGGCTCGGGGAGCAGGGAAGACGGGGCTCGGCAGCCAGGCCAAAGCACGCGCGAGCTGCCTCTCCGAAGACGAGGGCATGCAGATTTCCATGGCTCCCTTCGCCCTTTAGCCTGAGCGCCTTGATGCTGCTCCTCTCCAGCCTAGCACCTTCATAAGGAGACCGACTCCGACAGTCGCGGTCCCCACTCAGCGAGTCCTCCATTGCCTCTGCAGGCTGAGGGTTGCAGTCTTGCCGGGCTGAGGAAGGGCAGGGCCGTGGGCATGTTTTGTTTGTGTCCGTGCGACAACCCTGCCAGGTAGGTTCAGGTGGCGGGCAAAAAACCCTCGGCTGCCTTTGTGCTTCTGCTGCTTC